CAAGCCAAAACTTCTCATTCGTCGGTAAACACTTCGCCTTAGGTCTTCTGTGTTCTGCAAACCATCCATTTGCAATGGACCTGGTAGTGGAGAAACGGTCCCTTAAGGCCAATAATCTTAGACGGCGATCTTCACGGTCTGTTGTTCTACGGCGGCGTCCAGTGCCTCTTGCTCTTTGCGTACGGCCTTCTCGAAGCCATGCCTGACAACACCTAACCACAGTGTCTACACTTCTTTGCACTCTAACTGCAATTGCCCGAAAAGAATGTCCAGCTTCCCGAAGTCCCACTATACGGCCCCTATCAAACTCACTAAGTTGACGAAATCGTACAGGTCTCCGTACTCTAGGCATCGTATCCGATCGTAAAGGATGTCAAGAACCAAAATCCGTCAACGTTGATTCTTTACTGCGGCTGAAATATTCATTTTTAGAGCGTTAGTGAATTAAAAAAAAGCAGTATAAAAACCGGAATGTCCAACTGATAAGGCTGAAAATTTTTTCACTTGTTATTTACAGTGAGATAAATACATTCACCAACTTTTATTAAAATAAAACCATTTAAACTGGGTGTTCGGATTTATATGTCACTTAGTATATTTTAAAATGGTTAATTCTCGTCCATTGGAACAAAAAATCTAAGCGATTTTTATTTATTTAGTATATATTGCTCAATAAACTAGTAGTGATTCTCGGAAAACAGGTGTTTTTGGGTTAAACAATTAGAAATTCTGAAAAACTACTTGACCAATCTACTTAAATATTGTAGCTATTTACGAATCCTACGTGTTTGAAAAATTTAAAATATCTGCGAGAAACCATCGTCGAATGACCAACAAGTGCCTCGATTTTCGGCCATAACTTTTTTGCTATCAATCGGATCTTATTTTGTAGGTCTCACAAATACCTAAAAGTCTTATATAAAAAGTTATTTCGTTCCTGTCAGAAAACACGTTTTCTCATTTTTGTTGTCAAATAAAAAGTTTTCCCACAAAAATCTGTGTACCCATTTTATGCGTCCATGTGTTTGAATACCTCTTGAACACCTTGCATCAATAAAAGCAGACTTTAGAATTATTTCGCAAACCAGGGATATTTTCGTCTAATATGATTAGACTATTAAAGAGTATTCATAAGCAGATGTTACGTAGTCTCCACATCACTTAGAAGGAGCCGCCATCTTGAAATATGCAACTACCTTTTTCACGTTAAAATATAGTGCTTATGCATCGACTTCATGACTCGGTCTTCATCTTACTAATTTGACCCAAGGATAAGTAGTGGTGGGCTTTCTTGAAACGCTGGTCCTTGATCCATAGAAAAAGTTACCAAGCTATACGAACATATTTCTTGGAAAAAACGTACCTACGTTGAGTATTTTTGCATGCAGTTTGATATAATATTCGGCAAAGCAAAAATTGAACTACTCTCAGGTTCCGAAGACGAGTACTCCCGCCATGGTTGATGAGATACTGCCTTACTGGCTTTTTCAAAAGGTCATCAAGACCATTGCTATTTATCTGCATGAAAGCATATTTTTTAGATATTATGCCCTAGCGTATTTTTATGGGTATACTCTGAGTATCTGTGTATATTTAAATTAATGTAGTAAGTTAGTGAGGTTTGCCAAAGAAACACAAAACCAGACTATACCCATCAAATACGTTGAATTACTTTCGTGTTATGCATAAGCTAGTAGTGCAGATTTTGTAGAAAATGATGACTGAATATATTTGCTGATAAAGTGTGTGATACAGGTAGATTTACGTCACATGGACGAAAAAGCTGGAAGCAATGTGGTGGAGGTGGGAGTGGACCTTTCTGAGTTTTACATGTCCGTGGAGTGGGACATACTAGAAGTACCTGCTGTTAGGTAAATATGAGGAATACTTTTTATATTTGGAACATAACACTACTAGTAACGTTATGTATAAAGAATCAATTACTACTACCTTAACTTCAGGTTCACTACATTTAGTATGTGTATAAATCCGAACACCCAGTTTAAATGGTTTTATTTTAATAAAAGTTGGTGAATGTATTTATCTTACTGTAAATAACAAGTGAACAAATTTTCAGCCTTATCAGTTGGACATTCCGGTTTTGATACTGCTTTTTTTTAATTCACTAACGCTCTAAAAATGAATATTTCAGCCGCAGTAAAGAATCAACGTTGGCGGATTTTGGTTCTTGACATCCTTTACGATCGGTTATGATGCCTAGAGTACGAAGACCTGTACGATTTCATCAACTTAGTGAGTTTGATAGGGGCCGTATAGTGGGACTTCGGGAAGCTGGACTTTCTTTTCGGGCAATTGCAGTTAGAGTGCAAAGAAGTGTAGACACTGTGGTTAGGTGTTGTCAGGCATGGCTTCGAGAAGGCCGTACGCAAAGAGCAAGGGGCACTGGACGCCGCCATAGAACAACAGAATGTGAAGATCCCCGCCTAAGATTATTGGCCTTAAGGGATCGTTTCTCCACTACCAGGTCCATTGCAAATGAATGGTTTGCAGAACCTATTGGCATGCGAAGTGTTTACCGATGAATGAGAAGTTTTGGTTTGTTTTCATACCGGCCACACTGGGTCCTCCCTTTAACTCGAGAACACCGACGTAATCGCCTTGAGTGGTGCAGACAACGGTCACTCTGGGATCAGGAATGGAACAGTATTGTCTTTAGTGACGAGTCTCGATATTGTTTAGGCATGCACGATGGTCGTGCCAGGGTTAGAAGGCGGCGTGGTGAAAGGAGGAATCCACAGTTTCTTGTTGAAAGGCATGTTCATCACACTGTTGGACTTATGGTTTGGGGTGCTATAGCTTATAGTTCCAGGTCACCTTTAATCTTCATCACAGGTAACATGAACGCGCAGCACGAAGTTCTAGAACCCCATCTTTTACCGTATCTTGACACCCTGGCAGATCCAACTTTCCAACAAGATAATGCCCGACCACATGTTGCAAGAGTCACAATAGACTTCTTTCAACATAATGCTGTCACATTGTTACCATGGCCACCAAGATCTCCCGACAGTGCAATCGTTTTGAAATTTTTATCATTTAGTTATTATGCTTCATTAAGTACTTATACAAAATTTTATTAAAATAAAACCATTTAAACTGGGTGTACGAATTTATATGTCACTTAGTATATAAAGGTATGCTTAAGGTATATTAATGACGCCCCAAGAAAAGTTCGAGCAGGCGGATGATGTTTGATTTTCAGGATATCATGATCACAAGCTCAAGGTGAAAGTGTCACTTCATAGAAAGAGAACATACTTTTTATCATGTCCCCTCCCGTCCCAACCCGTCGTAGAACCGGAACGGTGACGCGCTTGCGCATTTAGGAAAAAGTGTTCCAACCTTGTCCGTCACAGTAAAAGAACGGTTCTGCGTTGTGTTCCAACCCGTTTTGGGATCGATTTGGGACGGTTTTGAGATAGTGATATGGGCACCTACACTGAAGCGAGAACTAAGGGAACTGACATGCGCAGAAGAGATATAAACCGAAACAAAAATTACGGCAGTTAAAGACGAAATGTCATTTATTATAGACTTCGATAAAAATTATCGTCCGAAATAGCATTTAAAGTCATGTAATTTGGTAATATTCATTCATTTTTTTTGGGTCGTAATAATACTATTTAATTATCTCTAAAAATTCTGTCAGACTTCAATTCTTACGCTTTACAGCTTTTAGCTAAGTAGGGCATTATATGGTCATGTGTGTACAATTGAGCCATTGAAAGCCAGGATGGTCCAAGTCACAAAAAGGCGTTTCCGAGATTTAAGGCTTTAAAGTTTAGATGCGGCTGATAAATGTAGAACAATAAAACTGCAGAAAGAAATCAAAATACCCTTAAAGGTAGAATCAATTTAAGTATCTAATCACAAAATACATGAACATTTTGTGTTCATGTGTTTATTTTTCATATGTTTAAGCTTTAGCCCACTCTGCCTTAAAACGGTTCTTACCTTTGGTTTCATACTTGTATAAAGATTATAGTAAAGTAGAATATTAAAGTAGAGTTACACAACATTATGCGAATTGATAATTTTATTACAAAACGACATAAATCAATCTCCATACAGTAAAAAAATAATGTATATTTTCTACACAAAAACTGTACCGTACTGACACGACCTTATGGAATTTCTGGAAATTCTCGAGTCTGTTCGCCTTCTCCTTCTTCTTCTTCAGTAACAAGCAGTGGTCCGGTATCTGGCAAAGTTGCATCTGTCTTCAGATTCTTGAAAAAACTGTGATGAACTGGTGGTATGAATTGGAGAAGCTCTTCCATGTTTTTCTTCTTTTTGTTGACAGGAAGAGGGGATTCATACAAAGGATGTAGGTTTATATTTTTGAAGTTTTTGGGTGCGCCTTTTATATTTGGTAGCAAATTTATAAAATCATATGGAAATTCTTCATTCAAAGCTTCTTTATAAAAAATTTTGTAAGCTTCTTTTTTCTCAAAGTGTAGCCACGGTATCTGGAGCCATGATACAGTGGCATTAGTACCATTTTTCTTTCGTCTTGTTACAGCTTTCTCTAATGTTGTTGATGAGAAAAAATCAGACCGTTCCATCTCACAGACGTAAAAGGGTTTCTGGGTCTGCATGTTCTTATTGTTGTATACCAGTCTTCTGGCACGTACTTGATGCTATTTTTTGCCCGCTTGACACTACTATTGAAAACCAGAATGGGTTAAGTCACACTTGTCCCATACTGCCTTACAGCTTTCCATTGACATATAAAAACAGACTGGTGCCATCTGTGTGCAAAACGAAAAGATACATTTTTCAAAACTCTCCCAGACAAAGATTGATCCATCCACAACAGTATACACATAGAACCTCGATATCTGAAAATTTGGACTTGGACCAGCCTGGCTTTCAACGGCTTAATTGTACAAAATTGTCATATTAATATCGATTATTTATCTTTGTTTCAGAAACGAAAAATTCTATACCTGCTGTGATGAACCATATCTGGATATAACTTTTAATATAACGATGCGGCGGAAAACATTATTCTACACTGTCAACATTATAATACCTTGCATGGGTATTTCCTTTCTCACAGTGCTGACGTTCTACCTGCCGTCTGATAGTGGAGAAAAGGTACGTTGTTTTAGCTCAACAATGATTTTGTTCGTGTAAAGCTAGAAATATTAAGGAAGTTGTGGACCGATGATACAACGAACACATCTCAAGCAAATGCGTCTCATATACAGGGTGACTTGTAATGTCACGTATTCCTGTTAAAGGGTGATATATTAGGTCAAAAGCAACCGATTTTGACCTATCGTGTCTTATCCAAAAGTGAACCATTTTTGAGTTATTTGAATTTTAAGTTTTTTATTTTTTATTCCGATTTCAGACGGCTAAAATTGAAATACAAAAAAATGCAGGCTTGATTTTGAGTTTTTCCAATAGTTCATAATAAGTAATAAAATGTGGAAAAGCTACAAACGTTTTTAAATTACGCGTTTTAAATGTATCATTTTCTTTTTTTTTTACATTACAAAAAATGCAATTTTCTGTAAAAAATCTCTTAGTAATGAAATGTGCAAATTATTTAAATAATATCTCTATCTAACAAGCTTTCATTTGAGGTATTAAGCGTTCAATTATCTGAAGTACATGCAGAGAAATAACAATGACACCCACAGAGGCTGGATTTTTAAGGAATTTGTATTACCTGTTTGAACAAGTCGTTACTGTCCTCAAAGGACTCGCATGCAATGATTGTTTTATGGCATCGGCTCGACGAGTATTGAGCGAGAAGAGCTGACTTAGTGGAGGAGTGAGAGAGAGAGAGAGAGCTGTTATTATTCATCATTGTATACTAAGTGACATATAAATCCGAACACCCAGTTTAAATGGTTTTATTTTAATAAAAGTTGATGAATGTATTTATCTTACTGTAAATAACAAGTGAAAAAATTTTCAGCCTTATCAGTTGGACATTCCGGTTTTTATACTACTTTTTTTAATTCACTAACGCTCTAAAAATGAATATTTCAGCCGCAGTAAAGAATCAACGTTGGAGGATTTTGGTTCTTGACATCCTTTACGATCGGTTACGATGCCTAGAGTACGGAGACCTGTACGATATCGTCAACTTAGTGAGTTTGATAGGGGCCGTATAGTGGGACTTCGGGAAGCTGGACTTTCTTTTCGGGCAATTGAAGTTAGAGTGCAAAGAAGTGTAGACACTGTGGTTAGATGTTGTCAGGCATGGCTTCGAGAAGGCCGTACGCAAAGAGCAAGGGGCACTGGACGCCGCCGTAGAACAACAGACCGCGAAGATCGCCGCCTAAGATTATTGGCCTTAGAGGACCGTTTCTCCACTACCAGGTCCATTGCAAATGAATGGTTTGCAGAACACGGAAGACCTATTGGCATGCGAAGTGTTTACCGACGAATGAGAAGTTTTGGCTTGTTTTCATACCGGTCACACTGGGTCCTCCCTTTAACTCGAGAACACCGACGTAATCGCCTTGAGTGGTGCAGACAACGGTCACTCTGAGATCACGAATGGAACAGTATTGTCTTTAGTGACGAGTCTCGATTTTGTTTAGGCATGCACGATGGTCGTGCCAGGGTTAGAAGGCGACGTGGTGAAAGGAGTAATCCACAGTTTTTTGTTGAAAGACATGTTCATCACACTGTTGGAGTTATGGTTTGGGCTGCTATAGCTTATGGTTCCAGGTCACCTTTAATCTTCATCAGAGGTAACATGAACGCGCAGCGTTATATCCACGAAGTTCTAGAACCCCATCTTTTACCCTATCTTGGCACCCTGGCAGATCCAACTTTCCAACAAGATAATGCCCGACCACATGTTTCAAGAGTCACGATAGACTTCTTTCAACATAATGATGTCACATTGTTAGCATAGCCACCAAGATCTCCCGACTTATCCCCAATTGAGCACGTGTGGGATATGATGGGTAGGAGATTGCTCTATTTGCAACGTCCTCCTCAGACTCTAGAAGCACTTCGAGAGGAGTTGGTGGTTGCCTTGAATGAGATACCACAGAAGGACATTGACCACCTGATCAGAAGCAGGCCTAGGCGCGTTGGAGAATGCGTAGCACATCAGGGTGCATCCACACATTATTAAAGGTCAAAGGGCTTTAAAGTAGTGCAATCATTTTGAAATTTTTATCATTTACTTATTATGCTTCATTAAGTACTTATACAAAATTTTATTAAAATAAAACCATTTAAACTGGGTGTTCGGATTTATATGTCACTTAGTATAGTTACGCCATCGCCGCACGCCGAGTGAGAATTAGGTTTAGCTGGTATCAACTACTGCGTACGCGCACACTTTTTACGTACGATTATTATTTTTGAGTTTCCCAGTTCATTTCTAGTGGTTTCTTTATCATCATGGCAGACGCAGAAGATCCGTCAGGACCTCGCCATAGCGAGCACGGGCAAACTTTTACAAATGAAGAATACGCAGACATAATGTTCTGCTACGGACTTTGTAACGGTGATTCTGCAGCTGGCCGCCGTGAATATCGGCAACGTTTCCAGAAACACCTCATGTTACTGTGTTTGACTCTGTGTATCGGCACATCCGCCAAACCGGACGTGTTCAAAGGCAACATAGTGATGCTGGTCGACCCCGAGTCTATCCTCCTGAAGATGAAGAGGAAATCCTTCGTGTGTTTCAGGAAGACCCTACTACGTCTACGCGCATTGTGGCTGCTCAGTTGGGTATATCACAATACAAAGTATGGTTTACTGTGCATACTACTTATCACTACACGCTTGTGCATGTGATTGAAGAGAGCGGTCCTGCAAGACGATTAGGTTTCTGCAGGTACATGTTACATGCAGATACAGAAAATCCAGACTATTTTCAAATATTTTCTGTCGCGCCACTGCCGGTCTCCCGACCATACCGACAAACGGTAGACGCGGCTTTCTTCCAAATTTGCCGCTGCCTTCAATTTTGATATCAGACTATAGAATTCAAGAACTGATAAAGAAGCATTCAGGTTTCGTACATTTACGGTGTCAGTTTAATGTTAAATTTCATCTAGCTTATTCAGAAGCCTTTTTGTAATTATTCAAAATGCCTAGAGTGCGCGGAACTCGCCGGGTGTCACAGCTAAGTGACTTTGAGAGTGGTCGAATTGTCGGGTTGGAGCCTCACCTCAATCCATACCTAAACGCCATTAAAAACCCGATTTTTCGGCAAGACAATGCCAGACCGCATGTTGGCCGAGACAGCACAGAAACTTAACCGAAAAACCTGACCATTTTATCACATACATGACAAGATAAATCGATATTTAAAAAACTCTTGAATTCTAATAAACATATGTATAGTGTATTTACACCCAAGATAGAATGGATGCGTGATTGCCAAAAGCAAGGTCGGCGTACAGGGCCGCATTCCGAATGATGGACTACCACCAACGTGTTGTAAAACAAAGATGACAGTATTTAACAGAAACAGAAACTTAACAAATTACTCAAATACACTTAACAACAACAACAGCAACAACCAAGCAAGGTGAATACGAAAACACGAGCACGCAGTGATACACGCGACGGACGGTGGCCTGAGTGCAACTCTGCCTGCCCTGCCCCTGCCCCGCGCATTATTCCGCCAGGCGACCGCTTGAAATTTAATGGCGAATTGACGAATAAGAGGCGTTCTCCCCACCTGTTACCGAGAGATCACGCGCTAACTGTTCTTATTTACATCTCATCTTGAATTTGGATTCAGTTTAGGTGTTTACCTTTTTTTGTCCTGGTCAAAAGGTGAAGAATATATTCCCTGATATCCCCACTTTTAAAGTGTTCAGATATTTGACAAAACCCGCAGCGGCATCCCTCACTGAATATAGTCTTAGTTATTTTGGCAGGAGGCTACGCCGATATAGATTTGTGCATCTGTGCAATGTGCACCTGGTATAATAAAGCGCGTGTTCCGCAACCGCAATTACATAATAGCTGCTCTTGGTAATGCATATTCATACACCCTAATTACATCAAGTGTCACAGACACACTAGCTCTGCTAACACAGCTGATGTAATGTTTGGAAATGCAGCGAAATATTAGCGTTTGGTTTAATATACACTTTTTTGGGTAACGTTCAGGCAGAACAATACATACATAGGCACCTGCGCTTTTCTGGTCATTAAATGAAATCATATACAGGGTGTTGATTTGAAAACTTTCCACCACGGATTGAAAGAAAAAACGCCGAGACACGACAAAAGATTTGGCGGATAATTTTTTAACCAAAGACCGCTTCACCCTCTGCCCCCATGGCCATCACCTTAAAAATTTTAAATGACAGCGGGAATCGAGTATCAGCTTGTTTGAAAGGGCTTTCAAAGTCATTTATTTCGATGTTTGATTTTTTGAAATCGGTCGATTCGTTTGAAAAAAGTTAGAAAAACTTTATATATCTTAATTTGTTAGGATAGAAAACAAAAACACACGAAAATATGGCTTCTTATTTCAATAAGTGTTCAAAATGTTGCCCGTTATCGGTCAAACAATGATATACAGGGTTTGTCCGGAAAGTAATAGGACTGAGTCGATTTAAAAAAATTTATTGAGCCAATCGTTACAATTCTTCAAAGTGCTGCCAGCGCGATTTCCAAGCATTGAAGGTGCCACGGAAGGCATTCTCCGGAATAGCCTTGAGAGCCGCGGTGCATGCTGCTTGTTCAGGCGAGGAAACAAAAAATAGTCCGGGGGGCCACATCTGGACTGTAGGGCGGCTGCGGAAGCGTTGGGATGCCGGCCTTGGCCAGGTAGCTGTTCACAAGGAAGGCGGTGTGAGCCGGGGCGGTGTCATGGTGCAACTTCCAGTCGGCTGCGATGTCTTGTCGGACCCAGATTTTGATAAATTTAGCTAGGAACGCCCTCTACCGAATCCAGTCGGTACGCGCACGCTCCGAAGTACAGTCATGGCGGAAGAAAATGAGTCCTATTACTTTTCGGACAAACCCTGTAGGCAATGTTCGAATTCCTGACGGAAATATCATGGCAGGCTTCGATGATGCGTTCATCCAAACTTTCAGGTTGGGGAGTAAACACAATAGATTTCAAACGGCCTCGAAGAAAAAAGTCTAATGGT